TCTTTCTCAATCACCAGTGTGATTTCTATGGGACATAACCCTACCCCTGAGTATGTAGAAGCCTGTCTAATCCAGCATCCAGTGGTTCTGAGGTTGGCATAGCACTCAAATCAGGTCAGTTAGTCAACGTATTGGAACTCTTTAGAAAGGAAAGCTAAACAAGTATAGTTGTGCACACCTGTAATTCCAATGACTCAGGAGGTTGAGGCAGGAGGATCCCAAGTTCCAGGCCAGCCTTGGAAACTTAGCAAGATCCTATCTTAAAATAAAATAAAAAGGCCTAGTTATATAGCTCAGTGGTAGAGCCCTCCTGGGTAAAAAGAAAGAAAGAAAAAAGAACAAAAAGCCATCTTGAAGTTAATGTTAATGCTCTGGCTTCCATCTTAATTGCCACATATGTGGAAACTCTGCATGAAAGTAAAACTTATATAATATAGCCAAACAGGAATGGAGAAAAGCAGAATCCTGTTTGCACTATCTGAGTCTTTGGAATTAGTTATGCCTGGGATTTTCAGCTATGTGAATCAATTATTAATAATACTTTTTTGACAAATTATAAATTCCTTATTGCTATTTATTCTACCATTATTTGTTCTTAATAACTAAGAACTGTTTTTAAACCCACTGGAATTGAGTTATAATTTATTACTAAAGAAGCTTGAAAAGTATGATTGTATATAAAATAATAAAATATAGAACTGGGGATTTCAGATCCTGAACCCAGTGTTCTTTCCAGACTTTAATGCCTAAGACAGCACCACACTATTGAATAATGCTTTCACCTTATCTACATGTAGGATGTCTGTATTTTTGTGTTCTACCCACATGCAATCATGATAATCTCTTTCAATTATAGAGAACAAATTAATTATCAAATAAGCAAAGCAAAGACTCACAACTAAAGGAAGTTTTATCATGAGAAATCCAGTGAGAAGATGAGTTTATTAGGCAAAGAAGTATGAGGCTAGAACCAAAAAAAAAAAAAGATACAACTTAACTGGGTGCATACAACACGCCTGTAATCCCAGCAGCTTGGGAGGCTGAAGCGGGAGGATCACAAGTTCAAAGTCAGCCTCAGCAACTTTGTGAGTCCTAAGCAACTTAGTGAGACCCTGTTTCAAAATAAAAAGGGTTGGGGATGTGGCTCAGTGGTTAAGCACCCCTAGGCACCAAAAACAAAACAAAAAAAACTAAACCAAAAAACCAAATCTAAACTTTAGTGTATACACACATACACAAACACATACATGTATATATACGTATATATATCTCTCTATATATAGTATGTATATCCCCAGCAATTCTTATATATTTGTAATATTATATATAAACACATATCATATATATATATACATATACATACATACAAACACACATATATACATGTGTGTATACACACACACATACACACACACACATATCTTGCTTGGTATTAAATCCAAGTCCTCATGTGTACTAGGAAAGTATTTTATCACACTTAGTAATACTTTCAGCCCCAGACAATAATTTTTTTCTTTTTGGTACTTGGGATTGAATTCAGGGGCACTCAACCACTGAGCCAGATCCCCAACCCTATTTTTTATTTAGAGATAGGGTCTCACTGAGATGCTTGCTTTTGCTGAGGCTGGCTTTGAATTCATGATCCTCCTGCCTCAGCCTCCTAAGCCACTGGGATTACAGGAGTGTGCCACTGGGCCTGGCCCCAGACAATAAAAATTTTAAAGGCATGGATAATTTAATAGTATAATATAAGAAATAATTAGAGCATTTTCAAGTGACCCATTTACCCATTTTAAGAATGTTCATATGATAAAATGCATTTTCACTCAGAAATGTTAAGAGTTCTAGAGTCAAATATGTTTTTATAAAACTCCTATTTTGTGTACCTTCATATGTCTAAATGTAAGCATTTTACTATTGGTTCTTCATTGGTAAACACCTTGTCTATACAGTGAATTCTGAAGTTTGTATAAGAAAATACATGGCCTTGTTTCCTATCTCTACTTTGGACATATGATTGGCTGACATTTTTGTGCTGTATAGGGAAGTCACATCTGTCATCATCAACATATTCTCCAAAGTGAACATTCCCTTAATTAAATCACAATGTTGCAAAAACATACCAATGGGTTTGCTTTTGCCTGTAAATGGGATTCACAAATCTTAAAAATAAGTCTAGCATGCAGCCTTGCTAAAGACCCCACTCGTATTTGTTTTTGATATTTTTCTAAAGGAGGTTCTCAGGAAGGCCCTATTATGCTTGCATGCACCTGTTTTTCCTCGTGGAATAATTGGTGTCAGGGGACTAAAGAGAGAAGATTCTGTTAAGATTTGGTCATGCAGATAGCTCACATTCTGGGTTTTTGTGATCTGAGTTTGAGGAACTGGGGTGGATGATTTCTGAGTCTATCACTCTATAGAGACCACCTATTTAAGAATATGGACATTTTAGGTTTTGTTTCTTGATGATAGACTATGAAACATGTGTATCCAAATCACCAAACGTGCTTCTTAAAAATGCAGATCTTTGGGATCTATCTAATGAATCAAGAACTAAGGGAATGGGACCATGTCAGTTCTCTTAAAATAAATGCTTGCAGTTGATTCTTAGCCACATTTAAATTTTGAGACATTTTGCTATAGACTACATCAACTTCCAGCTACTGTGAAGATGTCTGGGGAATAAGCCCTAATACAAAGTCTATGGTTTCCATTGTCATTGTCTTAAATATCTGATTTATAGATGTCTGGGTATAAATTTCAGTATAAATGGGAATTCTGAAAAGAATATGCTGATTTAATAAACTAAAAAGCTTAAAATAAAAGATTTTATGCATTTGAAAATTCAGGGCCAGTGAATAACAAAGCTATTCTTTTAACTTCTTCAAATTATATTCCTCTAATGATTGAATATAAAAGAAAATGAAAGCACAGCTGTTTTCCTTCACTTTCTAGTATATCAAAGATACTCATTTTAACTATCCAAGAGTCATATCTAACACCTCAGATCCTGTCATGTCTTTCCAAACATCTGTAAACTATATGTGAAAATATAGCTAGGTACTTGCTGCAATTGGCAGCCATTCTCAAAGAAAATGGTTTCGACCCTGGCTGCACATTGGAAGCACCTGGAGAAATTTAAGAACAAAATCTACACTTGTATCCCACTCTGGACCAACTACCATAAATCAGGAACTCTGGATAGAGTGCCTAACAATTTTTTGTCTTAAATTCTCAGGTGATTGTACTCTGAACTCAGGACTGGGATCCACTCCACTAGGGTACTTCCTCAGCAGTCTAATCTCTGACTCAATAAACAACATTTAGCTAAGAACAATTATCAGTGGAAATATTGACTGAAGTTTATGTAGATTATTCATTTTCAGTCTACCATCTTTAATTAAGMCAGATTAGTAGAATGGTGGTATGCTAGGACAGGATTATAATATCCTAGCAAACTTTCTTTTTTCAATTTCCTTTCCTGTATTGCCATGTGCTCTTGTTAAGGGACATGTGCAAGAACAGACCTGCAAGATGGATTTGTCTATACTCTCTATTGTTGAAGACTTTGATTATTCCACATGGCTCTGTATTTCAGAAGACACTTGGGAGCTAATTTTTCTGATCTTAATATTAGGAATGCTAAATATTTAATAGACTCATAAATTATGTAGGGGATCAAGTTTTATTTAATGAGCTAATAGAAAGTCTGGAGCCAAGTTTGTTTCCATGAGCAGGTATAATAGGAATTATCCTGTTATTAGTTTTTTCCATTTTCATGTTTGTTTTCCTGTTTTTTTCTTGTCTTCTTATATTTTATTACTATGGTCTTTGTGTCTATTCAGCTATTGTAAAACTGCAAGAACAACATTAAGTGTATACATCATTTAAAATGTAGCTAATAGAGCTTATGATTGCATATTACACTACAAACGCTATTACCTGGATTCAGTACAGGTGAAATAATTTTCTCAACTTAACAAACCTGAATAGCATCAAAGCCAACCTGTAAAACTGGGTACTGGATTAATTCTGATTTTGAAATAACATTTATAAGACAGTGAAAGTATCAGGTACAATCAGAATATTGTGGTTGTGATTCTATATTTACCACTGATTTGGTGAAAAAAAAATAGATTAATGGTTAGAGGAGAGAAAATGTATGTTTCGTTTGAGAAGGAAGAACACAGGAATCAAAAATAAGTGAAGCCTTCACTTGGGGACAATGCCCAATTTAAGCTTTAATAAGAAGGTGAGGTAAACATACGGAAAGTGACAAAACCTTTCTTTGGTATCAATTATAAGGAGAAAAATCTAGATTGAATTAATTTTTTAAATGACATAGCTAGGAGGCATTCTAATATAATTTTTTTTTTGCAAAGTACCCTGCAGTGTTTTCATGATTATTCAATTGAATCTCTAATATTTCAACTACTAAGCTACCTCTGATACAAGTAAGCATTTTGGAGAAAGGGTTCTGGGGTTCAGTTATGTTGAAATGAAATATTAYAGGTTCCTATTAAATTTCATTGATGGATTATGAAAAAGGTATTCTAAAAATAAAATGCAGTCACTGTAAGATACTTCCATCATGTCATGTATATATAGAAATTTGGGTAAAATTATTATTTAAAAAGAAAATTATCAATAATAATCTACACTGATGGATTCATTTGTATATGTAATTTGAGACACAAGCTTTCTCTTAACTACGATCGCCTTTTATTAAATTTACYCTCTGATTGATCCACTACAAGCAAAAATCCTCTGTGAATTTTCAAAGAAAGCCTGGTTTCATACATGTATGTAAACTCTTAGCCTGGCTTTAATTTATATTGCTACATAACAAAATATTTTCTAAATTTTATACAGTACAACACATTTCTTTTGGTTGAAGACATTGAGCAAGTTTTACCATATCTGTGGTTTGTGTGATTATTACAAAAGTTATATACAAAACCTTGTAAATATGCAAAAATTGCAAAATACACTCTGACAGCTAATGCTCTGAAAACACTTTATTACACAAATTACATTCAGATTCTGAAAATAGTGTTCTAACAGTGTAACCATCTAAAAATAAGACATCCCAGAAATACACCAACCAAGGAGAAAATTAAAAAAAGAATTTAAATAGAGACTTTTTTTCTTTCTTTCATTGCAATATAATGTTAGTGATTTTAAAAAAATAGAAGAAGATTTAGCAGCTTTGTCGTCATGTAGCACAAAGTTTCTCTTTACTGCCACAGGCTGAGAATGCTGAACAGGAAAGGCACCAAAGAAAGACGCTGGCAATGGGAGTGCTATTGGGAGAATACTGTGTCCAAGCAGAGAATGGGGCTATTTACATCCACAAAAAAGTCTCAAAAATGTAAATGAGCAAACTTCCATCTTTAGATTAGTACTATAATGGAAGAAGAGGACTGCTTTTCTATTCTATATTCATATAAAGACAATGGCACTCTTATGAACTTTTAGGAAACTCCTCAATTAAAAACAGAAGCCAACTTAACCAAATGAAATAAAATAAAATGTGTACAGTCCCACATAGACTAGTACATATACAATTAAATGCACAAAACTTTAAACGTGCTGAAGGGAAAGGAATCTGGTATTCTTAGTAAATCTCATTCAACCTAAACCAAAGCCCGGTTTTCAGGAAGAGGGAGGTGGTGGTGCAGGCAGAGGTGCTGAATACTCCTCTTCTGATTCGCTTCCATCATCCTCATCTTTCTCTTGGTCACTGCCCTCGGTGCTGAGGCGGTCAAACCCTTTTCGACTATAGCCTTTACGGCTGGCAAAGAAATTTCCAAGGTTTAAACCTCCACTTCCCTTTCCTAAAGAGAGCAAACAACAATGTAGAATTGAAGTAAAGTTTGCAACAGATGAGACAGCTTCTTTGTAAATTCTGAAACGGTAAATAAAGTTAGAGGTTGGGAAAAGGTAAATATTAAAAAAAAAAAAAAGTGACAAACAGCCAGATAGATATTACTCCACAGACTTACTAAAAGAAAAAAGAAAAAACAAAGCTCTACGGGCTTATGTGTTTCTGTAGAAATATTCCAGATTGACTTTTCGCCTCCTGTTTTCCCCAGCCCTCTGGAATTGTCATCCCTTGGGCAGCTCTTCATTTCAATGACTTTATGAAAAGGTCATCTTCACTCTGACAAGCTCTGACATGACAGCAGGAATGACAGAAAATTTACCAAAGACAAACGAATCYCGATAAGAGGCAGAGGAAGAGAATAATAGGGAATGGCAAGGTGGAAAAAACAAAACAACAACAACAACAACAAAACAACCAAACAAACAAACTGGGAAATTTSCTGCCAGAGCCACATATTTGGTTTAGTGTATGGTTTGCATTCTGCATTTACTTTGGGAGATGTTATGCTGTATACCAGGTGTTTAATTTTCAGAGACATAATATGAAATATCTCCTTGCTCTTTAAAGACATGATCTTGTTGACTTTGAACCAAATATGAAGGATTCTKAAAGGTCACAAGCATACCTCTAAATCTTCCCAGCACTCTTCCTGAACTTGCCTCAAGTTTGTGTTCAGAATCTGTTTAAAAAGAAAAAAAAAAAGATGGCACATTTCAAAATGAATCCAAGTCACCTTCCTAAACCAATGTTCAACACAAAATCAGGAAGTCTTAAATGTTTAGGATGGCTTGGCTCGTATATGCAATTCTAAGGGGAAAAAGGCAATATGTTATTGAAAAACATAGATATTGAGATGTATCTAAGGGTTTGATTCCTGCCTGTCCCTTAGAGACTGTGCAATTTTAATATATTAATTCCAGAGCCTTGGTTTTCTCTTCTGAGAAATGAAGGATCAAAGATAATTTCTATATATAAGATGGGAATTTGCATGTGGTATGCTTAGAATATATATATATATCTCAAATGCTTAATACACTTTAGTTACTTGTGTTAGGACAGGATAGAATTAACTTACCAACAATTTGTAAAATTTGAAAGCTTTGGTTACTACAATTTAGGAATATATGTGTTAGACTTTACTCTTTCTATTAAGAATATACATGCACCTCTTGAGAAAGCTTTGGATTTATGTACATCATTTCTCCTTTATGGAAAGTGAAGACACTCGATATGAAACTGTAAGTATTTTCCAGGTACACAAGGTGACCTAAATGCTCTTAACAGGGCTTCCATCTCCATGAAGAATTCTCCTTTCTTATGAGGAYGCAGCAACCCCAGTGGATTTTATTGTTTCCTTATCGTATCTCCCTGCACTTTCTCCCTTGCTTACACCTTTCTCTTGAGGGTCAGGGAAGCCAGGCCCAGGGTCCTCTTATAATGTTTCCCCAGGAGTGGAGGCCACGACATGGTTGTATTATCTGCTAAGAGGCAGATGACAGAGGAACAGCGGAAGAGCCGATGAGGAAGGAAATTGACAGAAAGGGAAGAAGCATCTACTAAGACTGTCAGAAAGCCAAAATTTAGACTTTATCTTCCACAGGGATGCAGGATATCCCTCATCCAGTTTGTATCACCTGTGCTTGGCACAGTATCTGATATGGAACACGTGAGTGTGTGATGAATAAAGGAAGGACCTTTAGGAGGATTTCTAAATATTTTACCATGGGTGAAACCCATCAAGAACAAATGTTGGGAAAGAAAGGAGAGAAGTTGATCTACTTTTAGAATTAAATATATTAAATGGAAGATTACAAAATTGCAAATTTTCTTTGAGTAATGGATGAATAAAAGCAGTTTCCTATCATCTGACCTGTGCCTCTTCCTTCCCAATACATTCTTGTAAAGTCAGCATGAGAGAACAGTGCCATGTCACATGCCCTCAACAGCAAACAGGATAGATCAAACTTTCTTGACTCCTTAGTCACTTCCTCTTCCAATTTGGGTTGGGTACCACAATTCCCGCCATCTGCCTCCAGATTCTAGATGCTCCTAATATTCTCTGTATTTACCACCACACGTAGCACCCTCTATGATAGCTTTTATGACATCTCTCTTTTTTTATGTCATTTATTCTGTGTGCCATTTATTCATTCAATCTTCCAACAACTACTTATTAACCCCATTGTGACAAGAACTGTTATTTGTGTTAGGGACATATGAGTAAACAAGATATACAAAACTCCTGTTCTCTTGAAGCTTTTATTTAGCTCCATGAAGATGATGACTTTCTTTCTCCTTGCCCTGCTTTTGACAGTTTCAGGTCTGTACAGGGTCTTAACAGAAGTCCTTCTTGGTAAGAATTCAACTATATTTTTGCTGAGATATCTGAATTCAGATTTAAAAAAAAAGCCTAAGAAAAATTACCCTTTATAACCTGTTAAACTGAACTTTGCTTCCTGTTTCTGAGTTCTTTCTGTGTTAGTGCTTTGCCATGGGCACTGAATCTCTGCCATGGCTGCCTTGACCTGGAAAAGGTCAAGATGCTGTTTTTTGATCTAATGCTGCCTCCYACACTGTCCCACTAACTGCTTCCTAGATGCATCTGTAGACTTTTGCTGTAGGACCTGGGACCCCAGTGGAAGGACTGCTATTGAGGAGTAGGAAAYAGGGGTTGGGTCAAAGTTTTTTTATTTGGCCATTTTTTTTGGGGGGGGGTTTCTGGCATCAAACTCAGGGGGTACTCAACCACTGAGCCACATCCCCAGCCCCATTTTTGTATCTTATTTAGAGACAGGGTCTTGCTGAGTTGCTTAGCACCTCACTGTTGCTGAGGCTGGCTTTGAACTTGTGATCCTCCTGTCTCAGCCTCCTAAGCCACTGGAATTACAKGCATGGGCCACCGCACCCAGCCAAAGTTTATTTGTTTGGATGTCCTGAAAGGAACTCAGCTGCTGGATTCTATACTGTGATAATGATTTTGTAAAATACTGATGGCCTAAATATGACTATTCAAAAACTTTCAAATAGTTTTTTTTTTTTTTTAAGAAATATGTGCTCTCTTGAGAAAGCTAAAGTTTGAGACAAGAATCTGCTATTATTCTATTCCTTGTCACAATCACTGGTGGTGTTGAGTGTTTACTAGGTTCCAGGTACTTTGATAAATGCTTTACATACATTATTCCATTTATTCTTTTACAACTTTGTGAGATATTTTATCCAGATTTTATTCATGAGGAAACTGTAGTTTTGAAAGATTAAGTAACTTGCCCAAAGTCATGTAACTGGAGCTAAGGCCAGTGTGATGGGGAAAATACAACCTCAAAATAACTGACCCAAGTTCTTTGAAAATGGCCTGTTTCTAACCGAAGAAATCTTCTTCTTCCTGATCTGTCAGCTAAATTATACTGACTCTACTATCTACAGCTTTGTGTGGAGATACTAATTGGGCTTAAGCCAATTGCTAAAAGGCAATGTTAAAGGTTAATTATAATCCAACTGTCTAAATTCCAGAGGCTCCAGACATATTTTCTACTGTGATACTAATTATAGAGAATATATGAAAAAGAGACAATAACGTCAAAAATGTAGAATGCATTAAAACAAAACAAAACAAAAAAACCAGACACACACAAAAAAATCACAACCAAACTCCTGATGATAATTAGGCCAAACAATCTTTCAAAGGTAGGTTCCAAGTTCAAGTTAAAGGGGCCCATTTTACTTGCCTCCAAAGGCCCTTGATTTTTTCCACCGAATAAATAAGGCAATGGCCAGCAGGACAACCACAGGAATAACCAGAAGGGTTGTAATGAGAACAACGGGTACTCCCGAGCCTGGCTCTTTGATCAGTTTCTGTTTCTCTTGAATCTTCTGCAATTCTGAGGAGGTGGGTTTGTTGTCCATTTTGGTTTCAACAACTGCCTCGGCTTCTTCAGGGAAAGAAGAGTTCACAATATTCAACTGACTCAAAGATTCCAGAACCCTCTTACCCACCCCTACCCCATCAAATCACAATTGCACAGAAAGAACTTCTGAGTCCAGTGCACCTGGGTTTCATATTTCAGTGTCTGAATCCAGCAATCTGGATACGTGATTAGTTATTTCGACAAAATGGTTTTTCACCTTGAAATTGGTTTTCTTTGGTTCTACCTTTAATTCCACAAACTACATATCCTTCTTTTGCATTTGTCTGAGTTAAAGTCACAGGAAGTATGTAGGGAAAAAAATTGGTGTGAATGCTGGAGWCAAACAAACCCAAGCTCAAATCCCAGTTCTCCTATGTACTAGCTGTGTAACTTTGGGCAAGTTACTTAAATTATCTGGGTCTTAATAACCTCATTTGTAAAACTGACAATAATATCTCCTTCACAAAACCATTACATATAAATTCCTGTCATCAAGAAGGTACTTAATAACTATTTGTTTTCTTGTAAGATATACAATTAATTAATGAATTTTCTTTCATGTCTAAGGCAGTATTGGTACTTTACAAGAATAGCCCACATTAATTACAGGATTACAGATTTCCTTAAATAGTCTTCAGCAAAATGAAAGTGCACACAAATCCATGTATATTATTTTATTGGCGATGGAAATAATTTACCCAACTAGTCTGTGACATTGGCAGGTACTAGATAGGTATAGGCCTAAAATACTATTTGAGAAACAAATGTAGTAAAACCATAGAAGTTATTTCAGGGAACTCGACTAATGAATTGAAAGTGAGGTTGGGCCTTGAGACATTTCTGCCCCCAAGAAGCACATATGTGTTTGTGTAGAAAATATAGGGTGCAAAGGATGACAAGAATATTCTCAGGCTAAAAGTAACAAGCACATCTGCAAAAGACTCACAAGATTTCGTGGCATTATYTTCTGCCCTACAATACAGACAGCATGCTATGTATGGCCTAGTGAAGATTTTCATAAAGTGACAAGGATAGGTGGCTTAACACAATCAGGACAGTCTYTGGTTAATGTTTAGTATGTACAAACTTAGTTTAGCATTTTGCTGGGCACCAAGGAAATACTTCCTAAATTACCTAACACACTGTGAATACAACTTATGGTACAAATGATTGACAGGTTGAAACTCTCCACTTTAATGTTCTGAGACAGCTTCCTCCACAGTCTCATTACAAGGACTGAGCACTTGGGCTATGCCAGGCATTTTTCTCTTTTAACTCTCACATCAAACCTGTGAGTAGGCACTACTATTATTATCATTTAGCAGATGGCCTCAAAGTCTTATTTCCTTTCCTATTCTATGGACAAGGGGAAGCCAGACTTCCCTGCACCACCCCCTTCTTTTTATCCACAAGCCTGACTCTTGAAACTTGAAGGGGAGGGAAGGATTGATTCACAGACCCAGATGGTTCAAATTTCACTAAAGTCTCAGTTTCCAAAAGGAGTAAAAGTGTGATTCCTGTCTCTTTACTGTAGAGAATATGTAAAAAATTGCTCTATACTTATACTATATTTAAGCAGGAAAAAAACTAATAAATCTTGGGATTAAAAAATATAATCTAGAGATGTAGCTTGGTATTCAAGTACTTGTTGCTTTTGGAAGAAAGGTCTGTTTCTATTTGAAGGCAGGTATTACARAGCTCCATTAAATGGACAGAACCGTGGGTGATGTAGGTGACAGACTAAAAGAAWCAGCTTAGCATTCATAAAGAGATGATGCAATGAATTTGCTAAGATATATGCACATTACTATAGAAATTTTTTATTTTCCACACCAATTCTGGTAATTTGAGTGTCATTTACTAGAAATACTTGAACATTCTAACTTTTGGAACCAACGGAGTTATAYTTAAGATTTAAAAGATGCTCTGTATTTTTTTTAAAAGGAGGCTAAAATTCTTAAATTTTCCGGTTTTAAAAAGAAGCAATATTGCTGTTCTTTTCAGGACCTTTGTAGATAGAGTTATAAGCAAAAATGATGGTTATCACTTACAAGTCTTATRAATTCCAGTCTGAGCACAAACAATCTAAATTGTGTCACATCTACTCTTTAACCTAAATTCTTTTTTTATACCTTTTTTAAAAAAATTATTTTTATATGRTTCTGATGATCGAACCCAGGGCCTTGCACGTGGTAGGCAAGTGCTCTACCGCTGAGCCACAACCCCAGCCCTATYCTAAATTATTTTATTAAAAATCTCAGTTAAGGGATGGGGCTGTGGCTCCATGGTAGCACACTTGCCTGACATGTRTGAGGCACTGAGTTCAATTCTCTGTACCACATATAAATAAATAAAATAAAGGTCTATCAACAACTTAAAAAATTATTAAAATAAAATCTCAGTTAAGTTGGAACACTCCTGATGAATAAGGAATGAAGATGCTCTAATATTAGGCAGGGCTTTGGGCTTCTGGAAAATTAAGGGGTGTCAAGCATGACATTCTTCTGTCACCTAAGATGCCAGATGCCTTCTATCTAGAARAAAAATGTCTTAAAATCTTACAATATCASAAGTTCTTATAGCATCTTTTTAGATATTTGTAAATAAACATAATTTTGAAAAGCTGATGTATAAGAGGTTTTGCTTYTTTAAAGCAATGCATTTAGAAAGGRAGACTAGCTTTATTACTGTGTGAGTATACACAYAGAAGTGTATGAATCTCTATTATTTGACAGAGGAATTAGAAAAAACTGGGATAGGAAGGAGGGACATTCTTAATACAGCAACACAGAAACTGCCACCCATTCATTGCAGACAAAACTAAAGGCTGATGGTTTTAGATGGCATATTAATAAGTAGAAGTTTAGAAGACATAAAAGTGCATACAGAACAATGAGATTCAGCTCTTTTAAATGCAATGTGCTTCCTTTACAAAAGGTCTAAGAGGATCAATGYGTTAGGAAGTTTTGTTTTGTTTTGAATTTTCTTGAGTTGGAGTCATCATCATCATCTTTTATTGAGGTGTGGGGCATGAGGGCTATTCTTTAGGTGGGATGTCTGTTTTAATAACTTTATTTGGAAATTAAAATTCCCTTCCTAACTTTTAAAAAATCATTCCAAATTATTTTATTCCTACAATTCCCTTAGAACATAGGTTCTGAAACCCTGTAATTTCTGATTATGTGACCATTTACAATGGGAATGAGTATTCTCAAAGGCAACTTGAATTAGGAGATTTGAAATGAACATGCATCATTGGGCTATTAAATCTGGGATGGTGTTTTTCCCTTTCTGCTTGAATTAAGCTTCATGATTTTGATAAAAGATATGATCTAGGGATCCACTATGATTTATATTCAATTTTTAATAAGAATATAATCTTAAAATGTTTAATGAGAGTCACATAAACTGGTTGGTTCAAAGAATAATAGAATAACTTCATCTGAATTGGGGTATTCCTATTAAAACTCGACTATTGTGGCAATATTTAAAAAATGATTTTTGAACTGCTGGTTTCTATCAAGATGGGGATGTTTTCTGACTAAATGGGCTCAGTAGTATGCACTGAGAAAATAGGAAATGGTCTACAGAAGATATTATTTATCCTTCATTGACCAACCCAAAGGGGTCAATGTGGTTGGTTGGGCTGGTCTCAATAGGCTAATTAGTACAATCAARACTATTTTGGCGGGATCTATTTAAACAAAATTAGTTTGAGACCATTTTGAAGTTCTGGAAATTTCAGAGTAAACTACAACCATTCTCAGCCCTAATTTCCTGGAAGAACTCACAGTAAATAAATTGGTTGGATCCATTTCTCTTCAGCAAGAGAATAGTAGTAAATAATAACAAAGGGTTTGACACAAACAAAGGTTCACTTCAAACCTGGCTCTAACACTTTTTTTTTTAGTATCTCAGTAACAATTCTGTTCTTCAATGTCCTTAAATGCAAAATTGGGATAATAGCAATAATCACATGTTGTAAGAATTAAATGTGATAATTTCTGTATAGTCCGTTGATTATTACACAAGTGATAGCTATTTTTACCAATCTTTCMTAGCATCTTATTCCAAGTCAAATATGCTTATTAATATATAACAATGATAGAAAGGACTAGGAACCATTTTGGTATAGGAATATGATATGAATGTCACTCGGTAGTAAGTATCACCTGGGTAGAATCTCTACAAATGCCAAGTAATTGCTATTTATTTACCTTATAATATTATCTTACCCCTTTTAACTTTGAGGCGGCTATATATTTTCTTATCTGCCTAAATAAATACCTAAACTCCCTCTTGGTTCTTGCTTCTTTTCATCTCTTTCAACCTGCTTTCATGAGAAAGGAAAACAAGTAAGCCTCTGGTTAAGTCTGAATATCTAGGCAAATTATTTGTAAAGCAACTAATAAARAAATTACTTAGTTACTTAAATATTAGGATCACCCCACAAGAAAAACAGTGAGTACTTAACTATATAAATGACATGTCAAAACCCTGAAGATGGTAGAAAGTATAGAAATACAAACTGTTTCTAGGAAAGGGAGAATATAATTCAACAAGGATTTTCAATGAACCCAGTGGTTGCTTACCATTAGCTAAATCCCATTTCTGCATTCCTGATATTATATCCCAGGGATGTGGTTTTCATGTATAGGTAAATGTGTCTGTGTGCAATCTCCCTCTCATGCTTCTTACATGCTGTAAGTCTCCTGAGGTCAGGTAGTTTCATTTCCCTTGGATTTGCTATTGTGCTTTTCACATAGAAGCCCTTGGTAAATCTTTGAGGCTTAGTAATACTAGGATGGCAGCTTTGGGAACAGATATATCTTTTCACATCCTTACAGCAATAACTCACCGAAGATTTCTTCCACTGATTTACATTAGAGCCCATTAAGAAAAGTTCTTTTCCAGAACACTGAACAGCATTATTCTGCTTGCTTGAGGTCAACATGTTTCCTAACATGACTAGCTGATGTTTTTCCTTTCTAAGTGTCTCTGGATYGCTAATTATAGATTTCTTATATCCTTAATCACATTCCATCACTTGAAATCAGTGATTTGAGATCCTTATGACTACTCCATTTATCAGAAAAAGCAGCAGCAATATGCAGGTTTAAAGGYTCAGCACATGGCAGAAGTCATGGATCATTTACCAGATTGTATTATATTTTTTAGATTGATAATTCTAAAGGTTCCATTAAAGAGCCATAAAATAATTCAACACAAGTATCCTTTGGTATTAGTTATAAAGGAAATATAACCAACCTTTGATTTCCTGGACCTCGATGCCAGCCTTTTTAACGGATCGATGTTCTATTTCTGTAACAGCAATGCAAGAAGAGAAAAATCAGAATCTCTAAAAAGAACATTTAAAAACTTAAATTTGATATTCATTTTATTCAGTAGAAAACATTTAGAAATTACTCATCATATATATTACTATATTAGAAAAGAGTCCAACACAAACCATAAATTGGTTGTTGGGTCCACAAATCTTGTGTAAAATCTCCTAGGGAAAGCTGAATAGTATCTTTAAGAACTTTATGAATGAGGTTTTCCTTTTGGAGTCCATAATATATTGCATTGTTTCTGAAATATTGAGTAGTTACATTTGATGTAGCCGAAATCTTAGCTGACTACTAATTCTGCCATGTTGGATTATCAGTCTTCTACCTGACAAAAATGAATTTGACTAGTTAAACCACTAAAATGCAAATTAAACTTGTTTAGTCTCCAGTGAAATCTTACTGTTCAAAAGGTACTATTTTCCAGATTTATTATGCTCTGGGTTATTCTGAGGGCTTCTTATTTTGAAGTTGTATGCTATGTTATAGGGCTTACCAATTAGAGGTTGCTCAAAACCACTTGGGAAGGCTTTCCAAACTATATTCTATTATTCCTCTTCTTTCTCTAAATCTTGAGGGGAATAGCCATGTGTATTCTTACCCTTTAGTTATGAGGTGTCTCCCAAAAGCTCATGTGTAAGACAATGCAAGATAGCTTAGATGTAAAATGATTGGGTTATAAAACCTTTAACCTACCTAAGTAGGTCACTAGGGGCATGCCTTTGGATTTGTATTTTGTCTGTGGTGAGGAGAGCTAGCTCTCCCTGCTTCAATTTTCAGGTACGATGTTCTCTCCTGCTTTCCTTTGCCACACTATTCCACTATAATTATCTGCCTCTCCTCAGGCCCCAAGGAATAGAGTCGGACAKCTATGGACTGAGGCCTCTGAAACTGTGAGCCCCCAAATAAATGTTTCTGCCTTTGAAATTTTTCTTGTCAGGTCTTTTGAAAAAGCTGACTAAAACACGTGTTTTGAAAATCCTCCCCAGATGACTCAGATATGCATCTCTGTTGAGTATCAACCACTGGGGTGTTTGTTATAAATAGTCTTAGACTAGAATCTTCGTGAGTTCAAGAATCATATTCTTATTAGAAAAAAAAAGTGAAGGTATTGTCTAAATTTCTGTAGTCTTTCCCATCTTTAAAAGTATTTAAAGAATTTTTTTTTGTTCTACAAATTCTGAATTTAGTCATACAATTGGGGATTAGCCATCTATCTTTGCTCTTTTGTCTGCCCCACTTTTAGGATACTCTTTGAAGATACAGGTAGTGAAAGCCATATTTTCAGGGGGACTGTGAAGCTACTTCTGTGGTGGAGTATTCCACAGGCATCTACATGTACTCTACTATAACTGGGTCTTGTTACCAGTTAAATTTACTCAAAGTATAATGCTGAATACAGCAATTAGCAAATTGGGCTCTAAGATCTATATTGCATCTGATTAAAGGCTTTGGATTCCTGGGTTTACTTTTTCTTTCTTATATATATTTTTTTCTTTTCTTATTATAATTAATATTTCTTTTCTTCATCAAATTTATATGTCCTTATTAGTTCTCTACTGAATAATACCTGTTGCATCTCCTCATACCTCAAATTKATCATCCTCAGTTCTTTTCCTTATCTTTACTTTATCCTGCTGTTTGTACACTACCATGTTTAAAAACTCTTTGAACATTTATATTTGTGGTTTCAGTGCACTTATATTTAAAAAATTTATTGTCTCTAGGCTCAAATCAGGAGCTAGTTTGATATGTTTTTTAAAAATCAGAAATGATATCAAAATTGCAATTATAAAATTACAAAACTAACCAGCTAGATCCTGACAAAGCAAATTTGTCCCCAGACAAAATTTTGAGTTACATGAAAAAATAGCAATTCAGTATGTGGAGAAAGCTGAACCCTAAATGGAAATGTAAAATACTTCCTGTTGGGAATAATATGTGTCTGACACAGATGCTGGCTTCCCTAGATGCTCAACAGCTCCTGAGAGCTGAAGAGCCATGTGTGGAGTGATGCCTCATGGAAACAAGTCATTCTGCTTTGCCAGAGCCATCTCTTCCTTCTGGAACTAAGCTGGAATTAACATTGGCTTTTAATGTAACAGACATTACTTCAGGCGTCAAGAATTTCCTGTGGAATATCTGTGGAAACAAGGGGATAACTGCCAGGAAAAAAAAAAACAAAACAAAACATGTTTCTCTCTACTTTCTAAAAATTAATTTAGTCCTTGAAATGCATACCAAATAGATTTTTAAACAAATGTCTTATAGCTTGATTTCCTACTACCATCACTAAAAAGAGAAAGTAATGTAAATGCTTCTGTTTCACGTTTTTTCTTTTTCCCCCAGTACTGGGAACTAAACCCAGGGCTTCACACTTCACACATGCAAGGCAAATGCTCTACCACTGAGCCAAATCCCCACACTTATTTTGCATATTTTTAAGCAATAAAATGGAGGGAAAATGTGGACAACAATACCGTAAAAGACTTACTTTCATTCAAGGTGAACTTCCACACGGTGTTGATGTGAGCGTCTCCAATGTACACGGTCCCATCTTCAGATGCAACAATATCATGAGGCATGTCAAAGTGCTGCCAAAATATAAAGGCACATATTAGGGTGGTGAGCCTTTGCTTGAATTTACRTTTGAGTATAACTCTAACCAAGGCAACAATAATTCCCAGCAAAGCAACTCTAGACCAAGTAATTTACTCATTCAATCATTGGGTCTTGACTTTGACAGACATAATTCTAAGCACTGGGAAATGCKAACAGACCCTCACTGCTGACTTTTAATTCTTTTAAAAAGTGAAAATTTACAAGCAGTTTGTTTTTTAACTGCTGTTTAGTGTTTCATTACATACCTAATTCTTTATATTTATTGTTGCCTTTGTGTTTCTTCTACCTTTTAATCATCAAATTTGCCTTTCTCCATCTATATAAGTGAAAAGGACCAGGTAACAATTTTGTTATTCTTATCAAGCTATCATGAGATAACTTAACAATCATTTTTACATTATTGATAAGGGGGTTATTTTAAAGATCCAGGGCATTTAGATTATTTCTGATATGCATAYTAGGATATATGCAGTGATGTGGGGTTTTATATTCTTGAAGTCTAGTGTGTGCAATATTTTTAGTTAGCAGAGGAAACAAACTGAGTGCTACTTCCAAGAACTTCATGTACTTTTATACTTAATYCAGATATTTTATTTTTTAATGTTTTTCTTCATTTTAAGTCATCCTCTCATTCATGAGGACCCAGGAGATAGAGAACACTTTATGTGACTCAGGGTTACTAAGCTGTTTCCTTATAATGTGCTACTGCAGCTTCCAAAAGTGCTTGAGGTCCACCAGTTGTCAGGACATGGATTTTTTCCTTTACCTTTGCAGCCAACAGGCCTGCCTGCATTCATGGTTCTCARAATTATATCTAGTAAGTATGAACAAAACACTCCCCACATCGTGGGCTCATCAGCCAGCAAATACCCACCKTAGCGTACTGGGTACAAAGGACACTAAGGAATCCAGCTGCTGTTCTTCACTCATTTCAGGACTGGCAGAGAAATATGTGCTTTGTAGATACTATTATGTTTTAGAAACGGGAAAAGTTTTGTTTTAAGAAAAATCGAAGAGCTATGTCAATGAGGCCCATTCCTTCATATTATCACACAAAYTGGGACAAACATTTAGAGAAGGATAAAGAACCAGAAATCGAAATGTTGTCATATTGAAAGCTCACAGGTGTGTCATAAACCTTCGTCTTCATTTTGAGTTTAGCTAATGGCAATGAACTTCCAAATTATAGCAGTTCCTATTCTAGAATTTTATTCTATATTATAAAAAGTTACATTATAATAACTTTTTGAACAACTATGCAAAACATAGTTGTAACATACCTCAGATTTCCTAATAGAAAAAAAAATACAATGGTGAGGAAGTAAACGTGAGGGGAGAATATGTGAGTATCTATTGGCTAATGACTTTGTTTTAAATAAATCATGGTATATCATAAATTCAAATCTATAATAATAACAAACTTCTTTCAGTGGCTCTCAAACTGATCTGGAGAGCCAAGGTTTTTACTGGAAGTAGTTTGGAACCATTGTAGGGATTCAGGGTCAGGCTTAGTGGGTGGGACCTCAGGACCTCTATTCCTATTGCAATCAGAGAAACTCAGCTATATTTTTTTCTTTATGTTTTTTATTAGAGTATTATAGTTATTCATACTAGTTGGGTTTATCCTGAAAAAAATCATACATGCATAAAATTTGGTTAACTTTCTAATTAACTATTCTACTTCTCTGTGCTACCTGAAACAGGGAATTGTATTGTTGAGCTTTAGGAATAAATATAAGATTTCAAAGTTGGACAAATGTAAAGTCTTCTAATGCAGGCTTTGAAAACTCCTCTCGTGAGTTACCTCTAGCAAAATAAAACTGACAAGAGAAAATAATGGTGGCATCTTCCTGGGGCATCAAGTGAAGAAGCCCCAGGCGGCCTGCTGACAAAATCACATTTTAAAAATTCATAAGGAATTTGTGTTCTGCTCCATATCACAACTATGCACACTTTTATGCAAGAATAATCTTTAAACCTACTTTACTTTTAAGTAAAGTATTTTTCCTAAGAACTTTTACCACATTTATGTTGTGATTTAATATAGCCCTTGGCAAATATGTATCTCAGGAATTAAAAGGTTAAGTGCATTTTTAGAGTTAGAAAAACCTARGTTTGAGATCCAAGTATGCCACTTATAATCTATCTTTGGACAAGTAATTTAATTTATGTGTGAGTCTTTCAACTTAAATATTGTCAAATACTATRTAATTCTAATCTCCAATGTRAAGGTTGGAGAAATAACATGAATCTGGGCTTACTGCGCCATTCTTTTTATTTTTCTCTTTTGGGATAGAGGTGTGGGGATCATGCCCTTTCTTTTCCACATTAGATTCCTTGCAGAAAAAAGAAGACAAAAATTCCATTCTGAAGGGTGTGTGAGAAAGCAGACGATGAGGGACATCATCGTCATTAAATTATGAAGAGAAAAAACTAGTGGATGACTATGTGTGTTTTGTACTCATAGTTTTTTGACAGCATTTCACAGATCATCTTCATGGTCCTATTATCTTAATTTCCCTGAATAAGCATAAAGATGGAGCTCACAGATTCAGAGGTATAMAGTTCTACAGAATCTAATCGTGAAAGGGGACACCTGAAATATGTGAGGAGATATGGATATGCACAGAGACACAGACACATTATATAAAAKTTGACCTTTGACTTGAAAAACAAATCTCTTCTTAGAAGTCCATACACCTATTATTATTTCCTTCACCCATTTTTTATGATGATAATCTAATTAAATAAAAATTCTGAGAGATTTGTTCATGAATTTCAGTTTACTGAGTGAACATAAAGGAAAAGSAAATCTCATCTTTTCAGGTTTGCTGTACTGACTCCCATATTGTACTCATTCATTGCTGAATGTCTGGTGAGTGCTGATGTTTAGGCACAATGTTTTCTGAAATTTTAATTCAAGGTTGTTCAGATTCTTACACCAGTAAGGTTCATTTAGAGTTTGGCCTCTTGCTTAGCATATAGTTTTGATTTCTAAAGGCATATTTTAATTAAAAGTTAATATTCTAGTTGACCCAGTACAACATCATTAAAATAAAAACATAAACACTCTATTAATACCAAGTGAAGACCTAAAAGAAAATAGAGGTGTGGGGATCATGCCCTTTCTTTTCCACATTAGATTCCTTGCAGAAGAAAGAAGACAAAAATTCCATTCTGAAGGGTGTATGAGAAAGCAGACGATGAGGGACATCATCGTCATTCCTTTGATTATGAAGAGAAGAGACTGAGTAGAGAGGAAGAGCAGGAGAAGAAGATTACCTCTAGATAGGGAAGAGAGGTGGGAGGGAAAGGGAGGGAGAAGGGGAATTGCATKGAAGATGAAAGGAGACCCTCATCGTTATACAGAATACACGTATGATGATGTGAGAGGAAAAAAAAAAGTGTGTCACATTARTTTGGGTAGAGAGAAGTGATGGGAGAGGAGGGGAAGGGAGGGAGGATAGGAAGGACAGCAGAATAAAATAGACTTTATTATTGCTGTATGTATATATGTGACTGAATGACTAATGTGATTCTGCAACCTGTACACTCAGAAAAATGAGAAATTATACCCCATCTGATTCAAATGTATGATATGTCAAAATCATTGTACTGTCATGTGTAATTAATTAAAACAAATTAAAAAAAAGAAACTGAGGGATGACTATGTGTATTTTGTATTCTTCACCAATAGATATGAGAAAGTTACCTCATAAGGACACAAATCAGCAAAGATCTGAAACACTATGAAAGCAAAATATGTATCATCAATGTAATGAATTTTCTTCTGACAACTGCTATGATTTGATATTTAATTGCTTAATGCTTTTCAGAAGAAATATTTCTGTGAAAATTTTATTTGTGAAATACAAACAGAAACCCTAAGAAAAAAAGCTTGTGCTGGAATCTTTAGTTCAGACTCACTTTGGTTTGATTTGTATACTTTAACTTTTGCTAAAAGCTCCATTGTAGAAGAGGCTGTGTCCACTGTCATTTGGCATTCTTTGTCATCATCAGTATTTGGCACAATATCTGACACAAAGCAGGTGCTTAGTTCATACCTTCTCCAATGAAATGTGATAAACCCCAGACCACCAGTAGCCTAACATTAATTTCTAAAATATTGAGGCCTTTTAAAGTTCTTTTTTTAAAAAAAAATTGACCAAACTTGGTATCTTATACTCTGTCTGATGGCTTAAGATAGTTGCATTTTGATCCAAGTAACGTCAATGACTACATATTTTGAAAAATAATGCTTATTTGAGTATTTTAGCTGGCTGAACTTTCTAAAAGTGGTGTACCACAAACACATTCCTGCAGTGTATGTGAACATTGTGATCACTCTGGCAATCACACTGTAGAAAACATGCACTGGCAAGACAGACAGTCTATGTAAACACTGAGCCATAGTCACTGTGTGTGTAAAAAGCACTATTTCTAGAAAAAACAGTGGCAAACTTTTTGTGAAGCCAAAACCACACTTTAGGCTCTGACCTAAACTAAGTCTTTAAAACTTAAATAAATTCCAGGAAGTGCTATTTTCAAGCCTTTCTGCTTAGCAAAGTCACAATGATAAAAAAAAAAAAAGAGAGAGAGAGAGAGAGAATACGATTTTTGCTAGGTCTAAGAGAACTACACATGTACATTTAACATGTGGTGTCTTCACTACTTGGATTAAACCAGGAAAAGAAATACTTTTTGGTATTCTAACTATAATATATTTAAATTTGGTATAATATCTAAAGTCTAATAACAACCTGGGAACTGAATGCAGRGTTCAATTTCATCTACAGAAATAGATCTAAGAACAAATAAGGACATTTATTCTAAATAAAACATCATAATAGCATACTCCTATCAACATAGCTAAGAAAGTTTTATCAAATCATCTAAAAGTTTTTAAAGATTTATTCAAGATTCATATTTCAGTTTTATTCTCATGAAAATTAAAAACACAGGCAATGTGTGTGAATACCTTGCGAAGTGGCTTGAAGACATCTATAATTTCCCCAGTAGAAAAGTTCATCACAAATCCTTGAAGAGGTTCTTGGTCCCCAAAGAAAGGCTTCCCATTCACTGCAAAGAGCAAACCTGTGACACACATTTAGTTAGTCTTTCTCTAAAATACAGATTGACTGCTTTCAAATATATGCATGTACATTATAGAAATAAATAATCCATTTAGGGTTAACCTGGTAAAAAGTTGAAAATGAAATACTAAAAAATGTTGCCTCCTACATAACCATATCAGGGGCAAACTAGTTAAAGAACTAAGCTTATAAGGGAAAAAACAGAAATTGGAGGGTTTGCTGTACTTAGAAAGAAAGACAACAGAAATTGGGAATACATAGTGATCGACACATACATATACTGACATGTACATATAGATATCATAGGCATCCTAAATAGGAATTGGGAAAAGTTAGATTATTTAAGTCAATCATTTGGGATGTCAAATAATTTGAAAAATATGTAAAATATGTATTACCTGCCTTAGCTATAAGAAGAGTCAGAAAGAAATATGCAAAGAAARTAAGTGAAGTTACAGTATAAATAGGACAATTTTTAGTTTACCTTAGTTTAGTATTAGGGATAAAACCTAGCTGTGCTTTACCACTGTATATATCCCTARCCCTTTTTATTATATTTTTAAAATTCTGAGACAAGATCTCCCTATGTTGCTCAGGCTGGCTTCAAACTAGCAATCTTCCTGCAAACTAGSAATCAGTCTCCCCAGTTGCTGGGATTAGAGGTGTGCACCCAATCCAAWGTTCAGCTGAATAATCTAATTTTAAACAACTGGGATTTGAAAATGTGAGATACATATTTTGAACTATGAAAGATATTTTTCACTAAGTGAATATTTTATGACTATGTATATTTTATGAATATACTTTGTAGTCAAATTATATTTCTTAGTATGGTAATGTTCAACTGAAATAATAGAAATAGTTATGTTTTGGTTAAATAAACAATCCAGATATTTGTACATGACATTTTCAGTGATTTAAAACAYATTCAAAAATACATAGCACTAGGACTGGGTGTGTCACTCAGTAGAGAAGTGGTTGTCTAGCATGCAAGAGACCCTGGGTTTGATCCCTAGCACCACAAAATAATAAAAAGTATGTATAGCCCTAAATCACTGTTGAAAATATTTCACCTTTATGTAAGTATTACAGATTTTTTTTACCATATCATACTGTAAAATAAAAGTATAAACATCAATTACTATTGTTGAACAATATACAGRTAATGTATAATTTCTTTTGCTCAGATTTTGTTTCTAACCAGATTTCCATTTAATTTTTGACAATTTTCTCTTATATTTATTTTTGTTCTCTATTAACTTRATCACTTTCTTTATCAAGTGAATGGTCCTGACAAATAATTCTTTAAATGTGAGGTAAAATGAACCAGAGAGTTTTTTTGTGGTTTATTAATGAAAATCTTTCCACCTTGGGGAAGATAATCTTGCTCCCTATCCAKTCACCTACTTCATGTCCTAAACAAAATGGGTTTACTTGGGAAGACAATAGCCAAGTGCACCTTTCACAGTATAAAATAWGTAACTATTATAGGGATGATTATAAAGAGTCAATGCTATTTAATATAAGTATAGATACATTTTGCAACATATATTTTTAAATTGTGTATAAATTTTATATTTTAAGTTGCTTGGCATTTATTATTTAAGGAAATCTTATGCTATGTTGTAATACGAATTATGTATATCTTTTTAAGTTTGGATTACTTTTCAAATTTCTTTTGAAATTTCTATTTTTGGGGGGGGTGGGTATCGAGGATTGAACTCAGGGGCACGCAACCACTGAGCCGCATCCCCAGCCCTATTTTGTATTTTATTTAGAGACAGGGTCTCTTTGACTTGTTTAGAATCTCACTGTTTCTGTGGCTGGCTTTGAATTTGCAGTCCTCCTGCCTCAGCCTCCCGAGACAATGGGATTATAGGYTTGTGCCTCTGTACCTGGCTGAAATTTCTTAAAGTTAAAAAAATATATTTGAAAATAAAAAACAAAATTATATTGGTTATTTCTTCTAGTATTTAGACATAGCCTCACTTATTTARTATATTTATCTTATTTTAAAAATTGGCTACCACTTCTAAAAACGATATGAAACAGAAATGTTTTGAATGCTGATTTTATSAGACATATACCATCTGTTGATGGTGTATGAAGACAATATTAATCRTGTAATAACTAGAGCAGATGATCATAGTTAAGAAAAAATGAAAATCAATATTTGGGAACATTTAAAACCCAATACAAACAGCTGTTAAATCTTTTTAAGTTCTTCATTATTTCAGTACAAGGAATAGTGGCACTTGAGTTGAAAATGATTTTCAGTGCACTAACAATTTTAAGACACTTTAAGATATGATWTAGAATTAACCCCTCAATAAGAAACAAATTTATTTTAAAAAGCAGGTAAAGGCAAAYACTTTTGTAGGATAGAGTACAGTATAATAAAAACACATWAAAAAGATGAAATACCTGGTATATAGGAAATTGCAAACACATTTCTTCCAAATGATGCATGCTTAATCTCTCTCACAAATTCTTTGGTGTCAGTTTTAAAACACTGGATCCGGCCATTTTCCCTGTCTGCCACACACAACTGGCGMAAATGAGGCACAAGGGCCAAGCTGTGAGGAACTCTGAACTGGCCAGGTTTAGGACTGCTCCCTGAAGATGCTATGGAACAAAGGAAAGCCTCATATATACAATTTGTAAAATTATTCAAAGTCTGACTCTACAGTTTTGCAATTTTACAAATTCATGATAGGAAACATTAGATATCTGAAAATAGAAAAAAAGTGAAGTGGTTTAAAAGTTTATTCCATAATGTCCCTTACTACAAATGTATTACAGCTTTTCTCTCCATTTGGAGAAAGCTTTTTGGCAGAAGTATTCTTTCTCCCTTATAATACGTGTGGGAGAGAGAGAGAGAGAGAGAGAGAGAGAGAGAGAGAGAGAGAGAGAAAGAGATGAAGCCAAATGGATGCATTCAGTAGACCTGTTTTCTTTGCTGTAGAGGAGAATTACATCCTAAAAAAATGTGAGAAGTGGCAAATGTCTGGTTTCTAGTGATAATGGCTAAAAATTACAATTAGAAATGAAGAGTAGTTTTGGTACCTTCTCCCCACTGTGTGATGAACTTTCCAGTTGGTGAAAACTGCACAATCCGGCTGTTGCAGTAACCATCTGACACATAGATGGCCCCAGTGCCTGGATCCACAGCCACATCAGTGGGCTGGCAGAAGTGATTTTGATCATTTCCTGGTTGCATGCTCCTTCCCAAGACTAAGAGAGGGCCTTCTTTACTGTTTGGATCCAGTTTGAATACCTTTTAAAACATGAGCAAGAGCTTTATCTACTTTAATGACGACCACTGAAACACACCCAAATTTCCACAAGCAWTTAAGAGTATTAGCTCCCAGAGAATTACTTAAAAGGAGGTACTTTTTATAACTGGACAGGACCCTAGAAATCACCTGCTGTGATTCCTTCATTGCAGAAATAGGCATATTGAGAGGAAGTGATTTGCTCAAGGCCATCCAGTAAATAAATAGTGAATAGAAACCAGTATGTGGAAAGGCTACTGTGCCCTCTCTGTGCTTCTTTCTTCTCTTTCCTTAGATAATATTACAATGATCTCTAGATAATACAACAGCAATAAAGGTTTACTGATGAATGTTGCAGACTGTTGAGAGACTTCACTTAATGAATCATAGTGAAATCTGTGTTCTAGTCCTCCTCCCCACTAATTTTCCTATTTTTTTTTTTTTTGCCACATGTATTATACTTAAACTTGTCTTCTGGGGTGAAAGACCTTAAGATATTCTGTAACTGAAGTATAACTTTTCCAAAAAAGAACAAAAATATTTATTTTTATTGATAAATGTGTATTTACAAGAGACCTTGCTTCCATTTATTGAAAATAAAGATGGTAAAACGTAAGTGATAGAAATAAAAATAAGAAATAGAAATAAAATTCAAGGATAGAGGAAATAAAATCAAATGTAGAAAGCCAAGGTGCTTCAAGGGCCCACAAAGATGGGCTTCTTAATGAAGCTCCACAACTGGCCATAAACAATCTTCCAACCCAAGGGGGAAGAGTATCTTCATAATTTACATATTACCTTTTGCTTGCATGAAGTGCTAGAAAAAAAATTGAAGATGTGGATTGATATGGACTGAATGTGTGTGTCTCTCAAATCCATATGTTAAAATCCTAAGCCTCAATGTGATGATATTAGGAAATGGGCATTTTGGGAATCAATTAGGTCAAAAGGGTGAAGACCTGGTGAACAGGATTAGTGCCCTTGCTAGAAGAGACAAAGAGCTTGCTCTCACTCTCTCTTTCTACTATTTAAGGATACAATGACAAGTTGACAGTCTGTGACCCAGAAGAGGGCCCTTACCAGATCCCCACCATGCTGTCGCCCTGATCTCAGACTTTCAAATCTAGATCTGTGAGAAATATATTTCTGTTGTTTACAAGGCACCAAATCTWAGGTCCTCTGTAATAGCAAGCTAAACTGAGCAGAACACGGTTGATCCAATTCTTGTTTTAATGTTATTAAGTCACAGAAAAAGACCTAGATAACTTCAGACCTTTCCAGAATTTAACCCTGATATCTTCTATTTGAATACCACTCAATGGGGAGATTACCTGATGGAGAGCCACATCTGTGACCCAGTAATTTCCATCTTTGTCTATACTCAAGCCATGTGGCAAGTAAAACCTGCAAAATAAAAATTACAGTCTTAATTATATATTTATTCTTTAAATATACATAAGAGTAGTTTGTAATTAATCCTTCTAATTAATYTATTAAAGCCATACACATTTATAAGTTAATAAATTTATATTATTATAGAAAATGAATTGTTAAAAGAACATAATAATAATGTCATAATATAGATTTCCTTGTGACAAAGCTTAAGCAGCATTTAATCAATCATATGAAAATCAATATAAACGAAGCTTATATGAGAAGTATAAATATTATACAGTATGTTATATTAAATAACAATATCAAATTAAAAACAAGTTTTGATCATAAATATTAACATTTTAGAAATATGTATAAAAGAAATTTTCTGGAGAAATTTGATTTTCATAGAAATTTGATTTTCATGAACAGGTAAAATATACTGCAAAAATTTAATGTTAATATGAAATAGTAAAAATATGACTCTAAYTTTTTAAAGAGTGCCCCAAAACAACAAAACACAAAGAAAACAACTTTCAGTAGGGCCATGATCATCCAGACCAAGTGAAGTGGTGAGCTAGAAAACCATTAATTTATTTAGCCAATCAATGTGGGTGACTTGAGTAAGAATTATACACTGATGTGGACAGAGGCCTGCAAGTTTAAGGAACATGAACAGAGTTAATCAGTACAAGAATAGTATGTTAAGGTTGTTCTGGTCAAAGGACATCTGACAATCTACAAGCCTTATCTGTAGCTTCTAGCCTCCTGGTGTGGGCACCAGTTTCCGGCTCCCACCGTGGCCCATTCTTCCATGGGCCAAGATGGTAAYACTCTGATCTCAACTAACTAACTGAACTAAATCACTGTTTTGGCTATAAGAAGTAAGGGCTATGATTTGCTTTGAACACTAACACCCCACTGCTGGCCAAGTTGATTTAGCAGCAGTTGTTCCACCTTCYCTCTTAATTCCTTTCTGGGATGAAGATGCCTCTGAGTAATGGATACAGCTCCAAAGAGACAGGCTCAAAGACAAAGTAGTACAGCTGGTATTAGAATTTGGCCCCTGATTCATCATCTGAGAATACTACAGAAAATTCTGAGTCTCATTATTACCATCTCCACAAGCAGCTGCATTCAAAGCAGTGRCTTGCTGCCTTTCAAAGAGCTGGCCTTCCCTGTGCCTAAGCAGATGGAGTCGAGTATAGTTCCTGAGGCTGCCAGGTTACAATGGTTGAGGAGACTCTAAGCAGGTGTCCCTTTCTTTCAATGACCAGGAATATCAGCCAACATTTTTTTGGCTGTCAAATGCCATCTAGGAATAAGACCAAATAATGAATGGCATTCAGAGCCAAATTACATATGCATGCTAAGGAAAGCTAAAAATGAYATTTGTTTAGTCTTCACATTTAGATGAGAATAAAGCATTTTTTCTTATCACTGATTACTTGATGCATTTAGTATGTAAATTTTCTGTTAAAAAAAGTTTCTTTTAGTATCAAATCGAGCTGACCAGCATGTGTATCAGTGGCTTTAATCTATTCTTTTTTAAAGTTTCAAATTGACACATTATCATTGTGWGTGTGTGTGTGTGTGTGTGTGTGTGTGTATGGCATACAATATGACATAATGATATATGTGTATAATGTACAAGGATTATCCAGGGGTGATGATGCACTCC